CCCCCCTCGCGCTGAAGCAGGAGGCCGGTGTGGAGCTCGGAGCCCTGAAGAGAGAGAGCCGGGAGAGCACGGGCGCGGAGGTGAAGACAGAGGAGGCCACGGGGAGCAAGAAGGAGGAGCCAGACGATTCCCTCCAGCTGAAAACGGCAGAGAAACATCCAGCGACAGAAGACGAGGTGACGCGACATAAGAGCGCCGAGCAGGAGACGCCGGGGAAGGACACCTCCCTCAACGGGGTGCACAACGGTCCCCCTTCCCCCTGCCACCCTGACAGCACAGGCTGCCCTCCCCTCTGCAAGAGAGCAAAGCCACTGCTGGCCTAGAGCGCCCTCCTCAGGACACTCATGGAGCTGCACAGGCGAGTCCAGTGCACCATGGTACAGCAAAGCGTAGACTGGTGTATACGGCAACATGCGGTACTGGACCAGTGCAGGGGCCGCTGTCTGGCCCACGGCGTGACTTGGGCCCAATTCTCCAGAGCCTCATGGTTCCAGTCTGGTCATCTTGTTAGCCAGCTGTGACCGTGATTGGTGGGTTCCTGCAGGGTTGTAGAACTGACCAAGCTGCCTGGCAGCGCCCCCCCATGGCTGGCCTGGGCAGCTGCGAGCTGGCTGTGGTGTGAATGAGAGAGAGCTGCACCTGTCCTGCCCCTGATGCCTGATCTCTGCTGCTGGAGCAGTGGGGCTCGCGGGGTGGCGTGGGGGTGCTGCCTGTCGCGATGCCTCATCTCTCCAGACCTGCTGCGGAGCGGGTAAAGAGGTTGTGACCCCAGCTACCCCGGCTTTGGCCAGAGGGTACTGGAGGGGTTGCAGTCCAGCTATGCGGCCCCTTGTAATACAACAGTAGGGCCACCAGCCGGTTCTGCGGGCAGCACCAGGTGCTGCATCCCCTCTGTGGGCCGTGAGCCTCTGGACACAGCTGATCCTCGCCTGCAGGTCTCACACAGACGCGCGGCTCCTCATCATAACACTTCCTTAACACAGGGGCGCTGTGCGGCACTCTGGGATACGTGTCTGTGCTGCCACTGCTGTGGCCAGGATGGGGCTGTTATAACGTACCCCTGAACTGGGGAAGGGGGGGTTAGTTTGTCTTTAATGGAAAGCTGCAAAGACATCACACAGACCTACCACAGTAAACCTGAAACTTTAACAAGTCTGTCCGAATTTTTCGGAAGCCTCTGTTCCCATCCCTCAAAACGGAAAAAGAAAGTTTCGCAAAAAAAGGCCATCGCCGGGCCCTTGCTCAGCCCTGTTCTGACAGCAGGCTTGGCGGGAGTCGAGCCGAGGACAGTGCGATGTCGGACTGGCCCAGCAGGTGGTGCTATTTTACGCTACACCTTTCCTGCTCCACTCTGTTTTATTAGTATAATTTTGTATTGTTTCTGTTTTATGGGTTTGTAATAAATCTCTACAGATTGTTTACAGTTTTGTTCTAGAATTGCATTCTTCGTGTTAAAGCTGTGTGTCAGAAGCACAAGTCTCATTCCCTCAAAAAATCAACTTATTCTTTCTTATTCTTTACAAGAGCTTTAGTTTATCTTTCATCTTTAGTTTCTGAATTGCACTTGAATAAGTTCCTAAAACTACTTTCCTGCGCTTAAAATGTATTTAATAATGTTTAGAGGGACACCTTACTGGTCCATTTGTTATAATAGATGTATTTCCCAGGCAAGATTAATCTCGGTTGTTTTTCTATCTGGAATTTTTCTTGCTCTCCTGGCTGTGAAGTACAGTGTTGTTTTTGAGGGGCTTCAGAGTGAGAGAAGAA